CAAATCCACACTCAAACTTTCTCTAAGTTTTAATTTGCTGTTGAATTAGCAAAACTGCATGCCCTTATGCACTAACCAAAGGTACAGAGGGTTTGAGCAGCACGTCAAAAAAAGGGGTTGTATGCATTTAAATATTTGTCTGTTGAGATTCACTTGAAAATTACTTCAGTTTTTGCAGGTGTTTACATGTTTTGAGAACAAGAGTCTAGATGAATACTTTGCAAAATGTTTTCCAGAGCTGTTGGGAAGGCTTTCATTCTTACCTATGGATTGCTTCTTGCTCTGTGATACTTGTCTGATTTGTAACTGTTAGATTATTTGGGGTTTATCCTTTAATTGGGGAATAAATCTAGTTGTGTAGTAAATACCTATGAACATTAGTAAGTAGTTTGTCATGTTGAGTTACACTGCAGTAACAAAACTGCCGATTTTTTTTCCTCTTTTAAAAGCAATGCCACAATTACAGAGCTGTTTTTTTCAGTATTGAAACTGTTCTCTTCCTTTTGAGGTAATTTAGCCTGCAGACCTACACAGACAGGGTATCCCTGGCATTTGGTACTTAAAAGTAACCTGATAATCTGAAATACATGGTTCTGTATTGAAAGAAATCCACTGCAACTCAGGAGTTTGGAAGAGAAAATATATAGATGAGTATAAAAGCATTGCAATGGAAGAAGAGGAGAAGGCATGAGATGATGCCCAGATTTCTTTGAACTTTATTTAATGCTTAACTTCAGATTGGAGGGGCCCAAATAACACTGTGGTGAGGCAGGTGCAGCATCATCCCCCCTTTGTATTAGATATTGCTAGGCTTCTCCACAGTCTGGAGATCTAGAAAATGAGCAAATACTTAATAATGAAGTATTCAAAGCCACATGAGATTAGAAAAAGCACCCTTTGCAGTAAAACCTGTAGAAAATGAAACTTAAAGGGTTGGGGGTATAATTCAGACAGAGCGAACGCTGTAGAAACCACTGTACATCTGAGTCAAAATTCTCTTTACCTTTATTTACAGTCATCTTCAATCAGCTTTGAGAAACTATGATCAAATTTCTTAGCAATATTAATTCAAATGTAAAGTATGTTTGTAAATATAGATGAATATATATTTCTTTTGCCTTCAGCACATAACTTTAAAACAAGTGGGAGTATGTTCTTGCCAATGATTTATTTCAGGCTTTCATCCAACTCTGGCTAATGTACAGTAGTAAATGACATAACAAATAGGAAGTGGCTGAGTCCAAGGGCCTGATGGAGAGTACTAACAAAGAAGTGCATTCCAGGTGGTTTGGTTCTGAGGTGCTTTATGAAGGAAGGAGATTGCATGCACTAAATGCTGGTGATGATTCAAAGATTCCATCCTTGTTTTCTGTTTGCTGGGCTTTCTCTTCTGCCTTGCAGAGTGCTCAGATTGACTGTACACTGCAGATAGTGCTGGATGTAAATGCTCATTTCTGCAGCCTGTGGTAGCAGCAGGTTGTTTGGAAAAAAAAGTCTGGTTTCTCAGGTTAGTGCTTAGTGAATTTTTCACTTGCTGTCCTCATCTCTTCCTTTATAGTCGCTGGAAAGGGACTAGATATGAAGATTTACATCTAAAGCATTTATACCCTGGGGGAAAAAACAAAACAAACATAAAAACAAACAATAAGCCCCCCACCTCCCCCCCAAACCCCTAGGAAATGTGGAGGCTCATCTGCCCTCTTTGTGTGTCATGTGCTGCGTGTGTTGGAATGGTGGGTTTAGTTTTGTTTGTACACAGACATGCTCATATATGGAGAGATGGGTGTAGGTAGATAAAGGTAGACACTCCCACACAGTTATCAGTTTTGTGTTATCTTACTGTTCTTCAGGAAAATTATACCTTTATTTTGAATGGCTCTTTTCAAAGTCATAATTGGTATCCATTGTATTTTATGAACTGCAGTCTGAGTTTTCACAGAATCTCCTTTCATCTAGAACTTGTACAGTCTGGCTCAAAGTGAATTTCCAGATACAATAACTTTACAGCTTGTTTAGTTCAGTCTGCTGTAGTCTTCCTGTTAGAAAACGTGACAGAATCTATGATCTAATCATAGCATGTCAATGGCTAGTGGGCTGCTAGTGCAGCCATGACATTTCATATTTGCTTTCTCTCATAAGATTGTGGGCATTTACTTCCATTTACAGCCTGTGAAGTTGCAGTAAAATGAAATCCCTGTCAAGTGTGATTGAATGTGCAGAGACATAACTGTCCAAAACCAAAAAGGATAAGACATTGATTTTGTCCTTTAATTCTCTTTTCTCTTTTCTGAAAGAAAAGGTGTTTCTCAGTGCAATTGGTTCTGTGATGGTACAGTGAATGCAGTTCTTAGTCCAATTTTCAAGTGAGGCTGTGAGTAACATCTGTGGTAACTGTGGTATCCAGCATCTCTGCAAAACCGTGTCAGCTATGAAGCAGGGGGTGAAATGTAGTATTTTACCTCACTTAACTCTTGAAATGGCATATGTACACACTAAAATATGTTCTCTCTTGCTTGAGTGAATATTCTTTATTTGGAAGCATTTTGGAGTCTTGGATTGCCAAGCACTGATATAACTTACATGTATTAACACTTAGAGTTGCTTTAGATAGGATTTTCTTTTGGAAGTGACAGTCATTGTCTGTCATTTCTTCCTAGCATGTGCACAGTAAGATGAAAGTTTAGATTGGGTGTTATATGTCCTCACTGGAAGGATGGTCAGGCATTGGAACAACTTGCCCAGGGAAGTGGTCAACTCACCATCCCTGGAGTGTTCAGAAAACATGGAGATGTTGCACTTGAGGACATGGCTTAGTGGTGAACATAACAGTGCTGGGTTAACAGTTGGACTTAATGATCCTAGAGGTCTTTTCCAACCTAAATGATTCTATGTTTAGTTTATAAACATTTGAAATGTAATATCTGAGGATTATATAGAACTGTATAATTAATATGTCTGTTCCAAAATTATTAAGGCAGTTTTATTTGTGGAAGAATAGCTGAAATATTGTCTTGGATATTTCCAAAGACATCCACAAAGAAATCTCTTTTGTTTGTATTTGGGATCATACATGTTTTTCCTAGTCTTTAGAGTACAATCACATTGCATAGGAAATAAAGTACACATTGCCATGGAAGTCATTTATCTTATGCCCTGTGCTTAGTAAGAATTGACTGTTAAGCTTTTAAAACTTGAGCCATCATTGATGAACATGTGCTGTGTGAATTCTGGACATTTTTGGATCCAGTGTCTTCTTTACTGTTATGCTACTTGTTGGATATAATTAGTTGGTACTCCCAAAATCACCTGAAACCCAGACCTGCAGTACTAGTAGGTAGAGGTTGTTGTTAGACTGTGAGTTGGAGAGTGAAGAGAGCAATAAATTTGTAGCTGTTGTGAATACCAATAAGAACATTATCTCTAATATTTATCATGTCTGTCCATGACATAAGGTGACATTCCATCGTGATGGATTGCAGTGAATTTCTTCATGATAAATGAATCTCGGGGAAGGCGAAACGAAGGAGAAATTTAGGATCTTGGGTAACATCTTATGGGAATTCCAATATTTCTCTTTGTGAAGGTAGCAGGCAGTGTAAGAAGACTTGTGAAGGTATTTGTGAAGGGAAGTGATGAGTGCTTGTGTCCAGGGGCTGGTAGTGTCAGGGACAGCCTCTGCGAGGGGATGCCAGGACTGCCTTGTGTCAGACTCAGCTGGTTCCACAACAGCCCCACCACAGGGTCCAGCCATGGACATGGTGCCTGTGTGAAAACCTTTTCCAGTGGGCAGCATTTGCCTGGCAGGGAGGAGTGAGGGGAAACAGATGAGGAGCAGCCCTGGATGCACCAAGGCCAGGAAGGAGGAGAGGAAGAAGGTGCTCCAGGTCCATGGCAGCACATGGGGAGCCCCATGCTGGAGCAGGTTTGTCCTGAGGGATTGTAACCTGCAGGGAGGACCCAGAGTGGAGCAGATGAAAAGTGTGAGGAGGACTGAGTGGCAGAGAGGAGCTGTTATGGCCTGTCTGCTGCCATGGAAGAGTTGGGAATGAAGAAGTGAGGTCAAGTCTGAGAAGGAGGAGAGGAGTTTTCCCTTTTGTCTTCATTTCTGAGCATCTGACTTAATTTTAATTGGCAATAAACTAAATTAATCCTCCCAGAGTGCCCCGGCAGTAATTGGTAAATGATCCCTGTTTCATCCCAACCCATGAGCTTGTCTTGTTCTCCCCTCACCCTGCTGAGGAGGGTGAGTGGATGGGAGTGCCTGGCAGGAGGCTGAGGAAAACCCACCACAGCAAGAAATGGAGATTCAGCTCCTTTGGAAAAGGAGGATATTTTCTAGACCAGATGGAGGCAAGATCATGGGAAGTAGTTTGCTTGTTCTGTGTTCTGTGGGTTGTTTTTTTTTTAAATCCAGGGTTATTTTGCATTTCTAGTTTGTGTAACCTGTCAACTCATAGAATTTAGAATTGTAATCTATAAATTCAACTCTTTTCCATTACTTCTGGTGTGTTGTATGTATTTAAGTGATCGAGGCTGCTTTGGCTATTTCAAGCAAAACTTTTGAGGAATTGTAACTTAAATTCTAGCAACTCAGTTTTAGTTACTTCTAATTTAAGTCCTTTATTGTGGAAACTTAGCTTTATCCCCACTCATCCCTCCTTAACAGCAGGATACAAGTTTAAGCTAGACTTATAGTCATAATAGGAGAGAAATACAAGGATTTGCTGCTGAAAAATTTGAATTTTTGAATTCACCATAAATGCAAAGCTATTTCAATTTTCATTCTTCTCATTAATAATGCTGATGTCTACAAATAATATGGTATATTAGGTTCCCTCAAAGATTTCTGAAGATGCTGGAAGTTTTTGGTGCCAGTCCCTGGAGATTTTTTTTTTCCCCTTTCATTGGATGTAAACACAGTATCTGTGCAAACAAGGTTATTTTTGTTACATTTGTTTTCATCAGTATATAGACACTCATGTTCATTTTATGTAATGCAGGATGCAGTAAAAGAAAACCACAAAAGAAGAGAACTGGAGGAGAAAACAAAGAGAGCCAAACTGGCTAAAGAGAAGGCTGAACGAGAGAGACTGGAGCGACAGAAGAAGAAGCAGCAGTTGATTGACATGAACAAAGGTAAGACATCATCTTTAGTGGAGAGATTTGTTCAAAGAAAAACAAAGTCAGGAATAACAAACTGAGGGCTATTTCTGATCAATATGAAAAATATTTGCTGAGTGTTCTGAAAGCTGAAAAAAAGTTAACTTGATTAAAATTGAAAATTCTGTTTTGGTTTAACCTATCTGATCATGTCGTTCCGTATCTGCCACTTCATACATGCAATATTCCTTTTAAGGTCTTTTGTCATGAATTATTGGCTTTTTTTCCCTTTTCGTAACAGTTAATTGATTTTTTTTCACATGAATTTACTTCCAAGCAGAAGTATCTTACTTGCTTTGTTGTTAATTTCATTCTGTAAACATCTCTATAATCAAAGTATTGTGGCAATTAAGTTCTTTCTTTCTGGGCTTGGGGGCTCTCTGCTATAATGGATGTTGTCCCAATAGTCCTATTAAGAGCTGGAAAATCTGGTTGAGCTTGGAGCCTAAGTACAGAGTGACATTTCAGCACGATAAAAAGCAATGTGTTGGGTCTCTCAGCTGTGAGAAGATTGTGTTTCACATGAGGCCACCCTAAGAGAGCAAAGTAAGAAAGCAGAAGGAGTGGGGTGGTCTTGATATTGATGCTGTGCAGCTTTCCAGAAGATTGTAAAATACAGGCTTTATTCTTTACCTGCCTGATTCTGAAGGCAATTAGAGGTGGTAAAATTACTTGGGATTTTTTGTTCAGTCTCTGAGTTTGTGTTAATCTGCTAATCTGACCTGTCTGTAAAACACTTCTCCTTGTTCTCCACAGAACAGCCTTAACAGGCATATACTTGTGGAATAATGTTCTTTGGGTTTTCTTGGAGGGTTTCTGCAGTGGTGCCACAAACACTGTTATTTTTGGCCTTGCTGGAAGTGGCAGTGACACTGCATGGAATATACTGCAGCATAAATTTTAGTGAATGACTCAGTTGCTTTGTGTAGATGACAAGCTTTAATTTCAGACCATATAAAGATCAGTCTAATTTCAATTTAGCTATAAACAAAATGTAAACATTAAATATAGGTGATGCATAGACATTTATTTTGTGAATTTAAGCTTCTGGACATTTCTAATCAGACTTTTCTAATCCATTCTTTCAGCCTTTGTCTAATCTTTCTTTAATATCTGTCACCTGCCAAAAAAAAAAGTCCTTGGTAATAAGAACAGTCACTTTTCTGTGAGTGGGTTAAGAACCCCCTTAGTATCCCTTCATCACCCTCCCCTCTGCCTATGTGCTTGAAGACACACTGAGAGAGGTTATTTGAACTACCACTCCAGGCAGTGTAAGCTGAGATGTTTTATTAGGTGTTGCAAAGTGTGAAAAGCCCACTTAGACGCTATTGTCAGTGAATTGCTCTGTATTTAAGGCCTGTAGCTCTCACTTTGAAGTCACAACTTCTTAAATTGCCTCAGCTCAGTAGGTGAGAGCACACCTGTCTCCATCTGCTAATTTTTTTAAGCAGATGAGGGGTAGACCACACTGAGCAGTGAGATAGATGCCTCAGTACACTGATAGCATTTTGCTTTTCATCGTGAAAGACTTTTCCTATCAACAGATACAACTAGAGTTTAATTTTGCATTATAGTTCTCTTTTGCTGAAAATGCAAATATGTGAGTAACTCTACATGGCCCAATGCACCAAAACTGCCATTTAAGTTGCTAATGTTTCTAAACTCATGACACAAATTAGTTTAATGCTGCTAAACTATTTTTCCAATTTCTAAATGTATTGAAATATCCATTGCACGTGTTACAACTCTGTTGCTGTGGTAGGAGGTAGGGGATACCTCCATCCCCACTGGATTCAATTACATTGATATTCAATTGACTGGTTTTGCCAAATAACTTATTTTTTTTTGTTGATGCATCTACTTCTGTGTGCTCATTGCTGCTTATATAAATAGTTTGTAGATTTGTCTAAGTGAATGTGACACAGAAGACTTAGAGGAAGGAGGCAGATGTCCTCTCAAGCTGTCATTTTGACAAGGTGATTTTCACCCAAAGGGTTGTTTTAACCTAGCCCTCTTCCAGCTATTTCTCTAGCTGTATCTTCAAGAATAAAATTTTAACACATTGCTACAGCCCTTAAGGTCAGAACAATAGGGTTCCTACATTTTTCAGCTTTTTATTGTGCAATTCTATAATAAGTATTTTTTTGCTGTTACCTGACTATGCAATGATAACATTTTTTGTGGCCAGTGGAGAATCCAGATTAGAATAAGCTATAATTAATTAAATGTTGCAATTAATATGTGTTTCTTGGTGTAACTGTAGAAAAATTCAGTGTGGCCAGAATCAAGATGTGCTGCATAATACCTGATGATCAGGTAAGCTGAGAGTTGCCAGGATTTTGAAGACCAGTTGAATTGTTTTGGTGGCTTCATGCTTTGTGTAACTGAGATGCCACATAAATACTATGTGGGAACTGCTATAAATCCTGCTAAACATTCCCAAATATGTCAAGATGAATGTAAAAATATATTAAAAAGCTCTATAAAAATTACAACTCAGAAAAACTTACCAAAATTGTTAGCATCTGTTGAATTTGGCTAAAAGAAGTAAATTGTTACATTGTCATGGAATTCTACTCTTAATGTTTTTCAGAGTAGATTTTAAATATTCTTAATGAAAAAGGATATTTTATATCACATTGATTTAAAACTGCTCCTTAAAATATGTTGTCATGGGAGCTGTTGCTTAATGTAAAAATTTTTTTTTAAGAAATTCTTGTAGTTAATACATATTTCCCATTATGTTGTGCCTGAACTTTTGTCATGTTTCTCTGTGCCAGGTTTTGTGGTGAACTGTGGAGACACAGAAGGACTTAGATGATTTATCCATACAGCTAGAGATCTCAAGTTTCACAGTTCAAACCATAAACCATTCTTTCTCATTATGAGAGATGGAATTCTGAGGGAAAGTCTTTCATGACTTCCATCTGATTGAACATCTGCAAAATTGTGGCAGCATTGCTTCCACGTGCATCTCTGAACCAGAGAGAGGAAAAAATAACTGGAGGCAGCTTGCTGGGAGCTGAGAAGTGTCTAACAGCAATTCTGATGCAAATGTTATTTCATCAGAAACAGTTTTGCTCTTCATTATATCTGATTACTATGGCAATTAAAACCACCTTTTAACTACCAGTACTAGAATAAAAGATAGAAGAGCTTCCTCAGTCCCAATTAGTATGGAATTAATTGTTTTGAAGGCATATTAACATTCTTCCCTAGTGCAGATGAAGGTAATGGAAGTGAAGTTCTGTGCTGCTGGTTGATGGATATTCCGATTTTTCCCTTTTCAAGTACCCTTATATAAATATTCTTATGCTACTTCTTCAGAGTGGTGTGTTCTTGTGTCAGCAATAATTCCACTGTGTTTCCTTGAACTCTTGTCTCACTTGCAGTGAGTGGTGCACAATACAATTCCAGAGGTTCTTTTTGTTTTCTCATTATTCTCATACAGTTTTCTCATGATTCTGTGCTTTTCTGGCTGTTTTTTCTTCCTTCCATGACCTTTAGCATAAAGATAAATCCATACTAAAGTTTATTATGAGTTACGCATTATTTTGTAGATGTCTTAGCCTTAATCTTTTGAATTTTTATCTTGGCTGTTGCTTGCATGGGGTACCTGAAGTGATAAAACTCAGGGCTTATTTACATTTTAAAGATTATTAGTTTATTGTGCTGGATTTCAATGAGGTAAGTGTTACAATCCCTTTGGGAAGTCATTATTTTTCCTATTGCTGTCGATATGGTTGGATATGCTGCTCACTTCCTGAAATCTAATATTCTCAAGAAAAAAAGATTAAGTTTTACATTATGCTTAAATGTGAGCAGGTATAGAATGTCGTGGTTTAACCCCAGGCAGCAGCCAAGAACCACACAGCCACTCACACACTCCCCACCAATGGGATGGGGAAGAGAATCGGAAAGGTAAAAGCTAGAAAATCTCATGGGTTGAGATAGAGACAGTTTAATAGAGAAAGCAAAAGCTGCACACACAAGCAAAGCAAAACAGGGAATTAATTCACTGCTTCCCACAGACAGGAGGTGTTTAGCCATCTCCAGGAGAGCAGGGCCCATCACGCGTAACGGTTCCTTGGGAAGACAAATGCCATCACTCCAGATGTCCCCCCTTCCTCCTTCTTCCTCCCACCTTATATACTGAGCGTGATGTCATATGGAGTGGAATATCCCTTTGGTCAGTTTGGGTCACCTGTCCCAGCTGTGTCTCCTCCCA